GGGGGGGGGGGTCAATAAGATGTCTTTGCGAGAGCATATTTGGAATAACTAACAGAAAGAGATGGAGAGAAAGAAAATTGTTGCAAGAGAATGAAGGGAATGGGAAGAGTGAGGAGCCTGCAGCGAATTATTTTAGTTTTTGAATTAATTTTTTGGAAAAAGAATGTCAAAGTGTCTAGAAATAAGAAGACATTTGTCAAGTAATAGAAGCTAATCTTCTAAAATCACATGTCCATCATTAGGGGCTATTTTCAAATGAAAAAAAAATTTTTTTTTTGTTTTAAAAATGTTCAACAAAAACCTGAATGAGTGTACGATCATCTAAAGCTTTTTTACTGATGAAGCATGATTCCATATAGCAACTTTCCATTAAATTAATAGAAAAATTATAATAAATGGGACATTTTTCTGCAAGACAACGACATCTCTCTTCATCAGTTAATGGACAGATAGTTTCCAATGAAACATCTTCGAGTGACATTCTTCTATAACATAATATAATATAAATAGTCTTTTGTTATTTCTATTTTCAAGCATAACATATAAGGAAAAAAAAATAAAAAAATAAAATGAAATTGATGATGATGATGATGACGATGAACGAGATGATTGTCAAATGAATTAGAATGAGAGCAAGAGAATAGAAGGGAGGAGAGTATGATATAGGAAATCCTGTGAACGTCACTCCATGGGTGACATACTGACTGTATCTGGAGAGATAGACGACAATGAAGCATTAACTCATTTTCATTTTACCTAATCGAATTGTTTTTCAAACCAAAAAAAATGAAAAAAAATAATTAAATAAAAGTCATTTTATTTATGAAACTACGGAAAAAACGGGGAAGAAAAAAAAATAAAAGAAGAAGAAAATTTGAATGTTTTAACGAAAGCCAACTGACGTCCTTTTTTCTTCTATCTCTCTGTTGAATGCCATCTATGAACATGGGCGGAGCTTGGAATTGAGAGAAGAAGACACAATCTCGAAGCACAAATGACGGAAGAGACAAGTTTTACTTTGATATTTCAATACAAAATATATTAAATTTTATTTAGTTTTATCTCTCTATCTATCCATCCAAAGATTCATCTGTCTATCAGCCAGCTGAGCTTGGAGCTTTTGTAATTCGAATATTCCATTTCCATTCCATAATTTCCGATGACAATATGATAAGTTGATGATAGTTTGTGTATGGGTGAGTGAAATTGAAGAAAACTTTCATTTGTTTTCGTGTGAGCTGACAAGAAGCGGTTGTGCGATTCTTAATTTTTTTTTCATCTTCTTATGTTGATGCTCATGGCTTTTCGTATGAAACTTTAACCTTTGCTTTTCGTCTTGGCGTTCTAAATTCAATGATCACTATGATCATGTTCGGTCAACTGCGATTCTGACATTCATTCAGATTTCGAACAAGAAAACAAGAAGATACAAAGAAACAGTTAGGATGGATGAGCATTACGTGATGGTGGTGCAGCCACAACAACTTTGTGTGGCCGTTTTAATAATTTTCTATAAATAGTTTTCCTATATAAACTATTGAGAAGCAACATTATCATTGAGTGTATAATGAAGTTGTACCCCAATGCAGCATACGAAAGTTCCACAAAGCCTTGAAATGAGAAAGATGTTAGATAGTATGAGAATTGCAAACGAACATGAGCTTAGACGAATGAAAACCATAGTCGTTTCAACCAATGGCACTAAACACAGTACAGATAGAGAAGATGTCGTCTGTAAAGAGAATACAATAGAATATAACAGCTGATTCTATTTTTATCTATTTATCTGCGGTTACCTGAATAAGTAAGCTTTTTAAAATTCTTTTATGATGTTTAATGTATTTAGAAGAAGCTGAAGCTTGCTGCTTTTTAATTTCATTTGCAATTGAATAGGAACATGAATAAACTGTCTGAAAATCAGATGCATAGTTGGCTTTGCAAGAAATACAAATTCACCGCTATGGCAAAAACTACTGAACAGAACATGTATAATACGAAGGCACGAGTGAATAGTTGACCAGGGGGAAATAACACGAATGCGCGATTCACATAGAATTGTATCTCAGCATCAGTGAGCTATAAGTAGACAGATTAGACTGAGATGAAATGCATCAACATTACATTTCCTTTATGTGTCCGTAAATCCACATCTGGCTGATACCCAAAGAAGAAAATGGTAGGACCGAGAACAGCATTGTTCAAGAATATGAGGATGTATGAGATGGGAAGAATTTGCTTTCTCTAAGGCATGCTCATTAGCTAATAGTAAGTAAGCACGAGAAGCCTACTTTGATAAAATGATCCTGATTAGCTATAGCATGCAGACGATAGATGTATGATAGCATTAGGAAGGAACTGTAAATCCCAAATATAACAGCAAAGAATGTGAAGAATTGTCCTGAGTTAACACGCATACTTGCTAGGAAACCTTCCGAGTATATAATATAATATTCATAATCTATATATATTTTGGAAATGAAAGACCAGAGAAAGGAAACAGCATAAACGAATACCTGAAAATTAAAAATTCGATTTGAAAAAAAAAAGATCAAAAGCACAGTTCATATGAAATTGTAGTGACTACAAAAAGGGAGCAGCTAGATTCGGATTAAGGTGTAATTATATAGGAAGGAGGGAATGTCAGTGGTTCACATAGCACGACCAGCAGGTTCAAGTGATCTATGAAAGTAGGTATCTAAGAATTGCAGAAATGGCTCTGATAGACGCGGTTGACAATAGCAGAGAATGAGAGAGAGAGGGAGAGAGAGAGGGAGAGAGAGGATGAAGTAGTGATAGTTGATAATATGGTTAATTGAGAGGTTCGAAATAAATATTTCTAGTGAACGATTGAAAATAGATTGCTAAGACGTGAGGGAAATAATTAAAAAATCTTACAAATTGCATGTAAATAATGATTTTATACTGTAGCGATTCCTTCGATACGGGTGCCATGTAGAAGATGTAGATGGAGAATATGAATAATAATAAACTAAAAAAACAAGAAACATTGTTGAATGTTATAAGAAGTATATGATCTGGTAGGCCGTTTTCATCTTGTAAACATGTTAGTAACTTTCTCATGTTGCGCTGTTTAAGCTAACTTGATGATGTTGGATAGTTTCATAAAATAGGTTGACAGGTTATCTTCAGCTTCTGCTATCTAAACAATAAATATTATACTGATTCAATCCAGCTTATATAATTCATTCAGCGTGTTTCAGACGTTACAATAACTTGGCTACTTGCTTCAGATTGAAATAATCATCTTCAATAGGGCTTATGAGATTAGAAATTCAAAAGAACATTCGAATATGTATAACTTGGGTCTCTCATGTGTTTCATTGGAATGCTTCTCATTATCAAAGTAACAGTAGTTCTGTTTATTATTATTGTTAAACTTTCTCATTGAATTGTGAATTCGATAGCAGCTGTAAATGATAACAGTACGAACATCCTTCAATTTGCATACCAAATGGGGAAGAAACAAAGAGGGCAAGCTTACTGTTAGTTAAAGTCGGAAACTCTTTACACTATCGATGGCGTAGCTGATACAAACACAGACAAACAACAACAACAACGAAGAAAGAGAGAAAGTACATCACAACCGTTCTTCCATTCAAAACAACCGGAAATGAAATGAAAGCTCTGATAAACAATATCTACGGAAAACACGTAAAGCAGTATGCTAATCAGGCTAGACTGGAAGCGGGAGTTCCTAGCCGCCTCCACTGCACGGAAAATTCTTTTATGTCAATCAGTTCGGCCTAGACAATGATTAATAAAATCATCTATGATTATAGCTCAGTTGGGAGATATTATTTATCTATTCATATACTTAGCGATAGAAGAGTGTGAAGCAGTAGAGAGGCAGAAAAACCAAAATAGATTGGAGATAATTGATAACGACATAGCAGGGAATGAGGCTTAAAGACGTTTTGTGTCGGTTGTGTCGTAGCATCTCATGTAATCAACAGTTCTGGAACTTCTGTTTACCCCATCATTCCGAGTGATGTTGTTTTTCAGCTCTTATTCCGCGTATGGAGCTTGAAGATAGTCTTCCAATCATTTTAATTTTTGTGTAACAATGGTTTTCTGAGCTTTTTTTTTAAATTTCAATTACAAGCTGTTTCATAGTGTAAATGAGATAATACTTTTGTTATTGTTGAGATGAAGGCAAGACAGATGTTTTCCTTCTGCTTGA